GTTAACGAGATTGTTGGTACATGCGATGCATCTTCGTTCGCAAAGGAGTTAAAGTAAACCGTAGAGAGGGAAAGCGTCGGGTCGATTTTAAAGTATTCCACTGCGCGCGCTGATTTATCGCGCGTGAGTTTTACGATGTGATCCGACGCATCGATTTTTTTTCTTCTTTCATTTCGATTTCCGGATTAAGACGAGCGATACATTCTCCAATATCCCCCTTGTAATTTTATTTCGCACAACTGCGACATGTATTCCGAGCCGTCGTTTTTAAAGTCGTCTTCTCGATATAAACGCTTTTTCAAACATTTCACGCGCTGGAGAATCTACCACAATTTTCCTGGTGATTAATTAGAGAAATTGATAGTCTCCGTAGTTCTGTACGTAAAAAGGAGAAAGAGAGAGAGAGAGAGAGAGTATGTCGCACGAGACAGCGTTGGATATCGATAAAAAATAGCTTCCTTGACCTTGCAACCCTGTATAATTAATATATAAGTTGAAATAGCACAGAGACGCGGTTGTGTTGTAATTATTTTTCGAATGTTATCGCATCAGAAAATTGTGTCTTCTGTCGTTTCCAATCGAATAAGAAAGAGAAAAACGAGGGAACGTTGGACATATTACACGGAAAAACCGAGACGACGGATTCGTTATTAAAATTTCAGGAGAATCATTTCCCCGGCATGGAAGGAAGAAGAAGAAGAAGAAGAAGAAAAAAAAAACAATTAATGAATTTCTCAGAGGATACTTGATTTATCGTTACAGAGCAAACCGGACGCTCGTTATTATCCTTATCACGAGCGCAAGCTATTTTGTACAAGAAATAGCGAATAGTTTAATTCGATGAGACGACGCGAGAGGCAAGAAGATTCAAGAGATTTTGTTCCAAAAGTTATTAACGCTCGGGGCCTGCGTGAAGTTTTTTTTAATGTTCATCAATTTAACTATTACCACGGCGAAAGTAATTTAATTATTTTATGCTACTACTACTTTGCTCATTAATGTGAATAAAAAGTAAGCGTTTCGAGTCACGAGCGTACTAAAAAGAATTTTTTATCAGCTCTTGATATTATTTTATTAACTTGACATTACATTTGCTAATCTATTATATTTGCGAAATCGGACAAACGAAACCAAAGTAAAAAAATGTTTAGGGATTTTAATTGTACATATATTATACACATATATATATATATATATATACATATACATGTACGTACCTACGTACCTTTTCATTGGTAGCATGAATTTATTTGGACGGATAAGCACACCGCAAAATGTATTTTCTGTAAATATATATACTTGTAAAAAAAAGTCAAGAGTTTCAACGAGATTGATTTTTCGTTTAGCATGTTTTCATTTAGACTAGATAAAATGTTTACCGACTTACGTTCATCTCGCAAAAATAAATATAAGCTCAGAGTGCAAACAAACGTCTCTGCAATCTCGTAAGTGATGAAAGATGAAAGTGATGATTAAAGCAGGGATGACAAAACAGGTCGGTCTATTTAAGTATTAACCTTTTCGATGTTAGGTTTTTATAAAAAGAAGATATTAAATTTAATGTTTTATGAAAGAAAATAACGTGGAACGCAATGAAACTCCAACTTAAATTATTTTTAAATATAATTAGGGAGACTACAGAAATATGTAGAAAATTCAAAGCTGCGGATCGTTGGAAAATCTAGGAAAGAGAAAGGATCACTGGATATTCAAAGTCTGTATCTGAAAGGTTAGACATTTCTATATATACATCGGCACGTTTTACAACTTTTCGATTACATCATGCTTTCTAATTTTAGAATTTACTCCCTATTTATAGATCATTAAAGAATATATTTATGTAATGTTCAATATAGTTATACTAATGTAAAGTAATGCTAATTGCAAGCACCATCGCCATCGACGCGTACAGCGTATCTAATTAAATTATTATTACGTTTAATACAGGTATACGTTTCAACTTCTTTTACGTCAATAATTGCAAGATGACTCTCGAGACTACATACGCCCACCAATTCCCATATGTGTGCGTATGTAAAGATCAACAGACAACAGAATGTTTTATAAGATTTGAATTATAACAAAAGAAGATATTAAAAGAACTTTCTTGCTGTAAAATTTTTTATTTTAATTACTTTGATAATTAAATGTAAATCTTGCAATAGAGATTAGGAAATATTTAGTAAAAATATTTTTGTATTTATTTATAACTTTGTTTAAATTTACTATCAAATTTGTCCTACGGTCATTCTACGATTAGTTATTAATATCGATATGTTTTTGTTAATAAAATTGATGATAGAACGCTATTCATAGATTTAATTAAATAGTTTGCATGTATGTAAAAGCGGAATCTCAATTTTTTTCTTGCTTGAAAAAGGTCATTCATTATTAGTAGTATGCTATACTTATTAATTGTAAGATTTCAAGAAATTATATCATTTGATTATTCCTTGTCTGCTTTCCCAGAGCAAAATCTTCAAAGAACAGGATAATTAAAATGATTAACTTTGTTTCAACTAAATGAGAAGTACTCAGCGCTGTTCATGCAATTTAATAAACGGATAACTGTCAAATTCACGTGCATTTCCTCATTGTTATGCCAGAGTAACTCGCAAATCATTAGAAAGCTTTCCTGACAAATTTCGTATCTATCTCCTTTTCACAGAAAATTTCAAGCAAGGCGTATAATTAAAAAGTTATTTAATAAAAACAATTAGAGTTTAAAATTAAATTTAATCCATATGCAGAATTAAAATATATATATTGTGTAAAACAAAAAAATAATTTGAATGTAATTTGAAGTGGATCTTTATTTTAATATAAAGAGACAATCATCTAGCCTAATTAATTTTGATAATTAAATAAAAGTGGGATGAATTGATTGCGACTTTTATTGTATAAAGATAAATCATTTTTTATTTTTTTGTGAAGGCGGTAGTTTATTTTTAATTATATATTACAATCACAGTTCGAAAGACTGTTAGCAATAAATAATAAAGTAATTCAAACATTTTTATTATAATATTGCATCTTTTATATATAATATGCAATGTCCTATTTTAAACAAAATATAAATATAATATAAAAAGCCACAAAAGTGCAAATAAATTGATAAACGATGGAAAGTGTGAAATTCAATTTCGCATGAAATAGTTTTTTTTCTATTATCAAAATGGAGAAGCTAGAGATTTTCATCTATCTGTGATCTGACAAGCGAATTTTCCGTGTGAAAGAACGCTCGAAAACACAATAAAATTTTTCAATGCAGATTTTTAATTTAGATATTCGTACCGTGAGAGCGAGTGAAATACATACGAAAGAAAGAACAAAAAAGCAAAATTGTACATTGTATCGAAATAAATCACAATTTTTGGCATGGTTCTATGTTACGCACGTTTAATTTCATATACAATTGGCAAGCAACCAAAAGTTACACAAACATCAACAAACAAAAGCAAAAGAAAAGAAGAGTAAAGAAAATTTGTTCTACATATGTAGAGATATATATATTAAAACAATAATTTTAATTAACTTTGAGCAGAATTAATTTGGATATTAGATCAACTTTTTTTCCTTTTATATAGAAATGACTTCTGACAGATGAAAATTTAGAAACTTTTTAGAGTTAAGTTTTTTTTTAGAGAGAGAGGAAATATATCAAAATGTTATCTTAAATAACAAAACAAGGAATGGAGAAAGACATATTATTCGGCGATAACTCGATCTTAG